TGTTAATGCCAGATCCCATTAACAAGAATTGCTCCTCCCGCACCGCACACTGTTATGTTGTTAACAGCATTCTGTTAATAACATCACCCAGTTCTCCTACTGGTTCGCGGTACTTAGCGCCCGCTACTTCGTCTCGCGAGTACTTGTCACTTGCCACTCCTGGTACTGACGAGACATATGTACATCTTATTACTAATGCTATACGAGCAACACAGCTTTAATCTAAGAAATAAAGACGAGGAAATTACAACCCGGTCTTTTTGCTTATCGGCGACACCACCACTCCAACATGTATAATTAAACTGCGACAAATCGTAATTAAAGTGCCATCCAAGACGGAGCTTATGGCAGCGTCTATTAGGCTAAGTTACCAAGTGTAAGTGATATATGAGTTACGGGCTTAACTGGAGCTTTAACTTAAGGTTAAATATGTCAACATAGAGGTACGATTGTTAAAGTAATTGAATTTAGAAACCTATTTGAAATATTTATAAATTCATTATTGCATATTTAATTAAGCACGATAAGGTATGATAAGCCTATAGCATTGCTGCAGCATGGCATTAATACAGACTTAGATTAGAACTTTCACTTTTATTGTAGAATCAAATTTAGGATTAAACGCACTGCAAACAGGTTTTACTTATCAAAATCTTAGCTGTTTAATCCAAAATTTCATTGCATACTTTCGAGGGCTGCCAAAGTAGAACTATTCTATATTGTCAATAGACGCCCATAAAAATAGTTTGTTAAAAAAATATATTTGTAGAATTTATGAATTTTATTGCTTATGCTTTACAACTTACTTTATAGCTTGCCAATAGTTTTGTATATGCCCAAAAACCTTTAACGAATCCCATAAATCATAAATGTCAAAAAAAGCGCTTTTGCATTAATTAAAATGTCTGGAGCCGTAAAAAAGAGCATTCTAATTTAAGCAATTGCCACACAACATTTAAATACAATTAATATAGCTTGACGTAAAGTCGTTTTATTTGAAAACCAGTCGGGCGTAAAACTGCTATAAACATAAACCAATTCGTGATTCATGAATTGCAAGCCCAATCGGGCGAACCCCCCACAAAGAGACGAGTCTTAAATCTGTATTTGCTCAGCGGCGGCGCTATCTCAATTGGAGTCCAAGTATATCTGTAGTTAAATCCGGGTTCCAGTGAAGCGTGGACCACACAAACACACACACGCACACACACACACACGAGGCACACTCTCGCTCGCTATGCTTATAATTTGCTAATGAGCGTAGCGTCCAGTCAACTGTAGACAATTGCGATTGGCATTACATGTTGTGTGGGTCGCCGGGGCCATAAAAGATCATTTTTGGTCTGAGTTTTTTTTTTGGTTCGCATTGTTATATGATTTGCGTTTTCCTGGTTTTTCATTTTGGCCAAGTGTTTCCATTAAACGCAGCCGGGTCCGGTGTGATATGATGAATTAATGTGCTTAAGCCTTAAGTACCGCACGCTTGGCAAGTTGATTTTCACTCTGCACTCATAATGTGGAAGCCCATTAAAATCAGAAACAGACAGCATTTAATGCACCCAATCCGCATCATTCGATAATGAGCTAATGTGGGCAGACAGCTGATAGACATGCTTGCATGGCTTGCATTTCCAGCGCCAGCTTGATCTCCGTATGTTGCCAGCGACCTTGCATAAATTTATGATTATGATTTTTGGCGTCTATGCAATCAGCTCATAAAATGTCAGAGGGCATAGAAAGAAAATAAAGGCACAGGTGAAGCTATTAACATGCTACGTGTGTGCCTAAAAATAAAAGAGTTAAGTATTGCTTCACTTAAGTCTGATTGCACAAGATCTGTGACTCTAACTTCAATAGAAAGAAATCAGAAAAGCGTTGCAATAACTCGACTGAAAGCAAATGCAGCCCAAATAGCGAGTTTAGCACAAAAAAAAAACCTTTAAACAATAAATATAAAAAAAATAAATACATATGTATGTATGTATGTGTCGACTAATATAATCATAGAAAATAAACAACAGAGAGAAAAAGAAAAAGATTTTCACACTACAAAGACTCAGCTGCTGACAGCAGCAACTAGCGAGGCATGTAAACTCGTCTTTGGCTTAGCATTAGCAATAGGTAAACCCCCATAAGCCTCACCTGGCGGGTGCCTTTGACGGCAGCGACGCTGACGCCGACGACTTCATTTACATTTTGGGCGTGAGAAGAGTGAATGAAGCATGCAAAAATATGACAAACAAAATAGCATAGATATATGTACACACATGCATACATGCATACATGCATATACGTGTGTATGGGCAAGATGTGCTGGCTGCATCTTTCCCAGATGCAGCTGCACCTGGCTGGCTTTAATTAGATCTTGCAGTAGTACTATTTATTCGCACCGGCAACGCCCTTGCGGTATCTATGCAAAAATCTACACCTACATCCACATCCCATGCTCTCTTTAAATTGCGTGCCAAAAAAATAATTGCTATCTGCCTGTCTGATGTAATATTTTTATGCAAGTCCAAATCAAACTGATGCGGAAAGAGCGGAAAAATCAACCGTGTGCCACTGCATTTGGTGCAAATGAATGTACGAAGTATCATTGAGGATTTCCCAAAGCTCGGGTCAGCTGGCCCTGGTTTTAACTGTGACTGTGCCTGTGGTTGTGGTTGTGTCGGTGTCTGTGGTCGCACAGCAATTAAGTTCTTAGGCATTAACGTGCCTTAAATGCTGATTGATCAATCACAAGGCTGCCAAAGAGTCGTGTGAAATGTTCACACATTACAGTTGGGCATTAGGCATTGCAATAAGAATGGACATGTACAAATTAATTGCATGCATACATGTGGAATTCAAGTACATGCACAGTTGTGTAAGTAAGTCTAGGCTCAGCTTGAAACTATTGTGAATAGGCAAGGATAGGCTAAGATGACGTTACTAATTGTTATCAATACTTATGCTGCCGTTTAACAGCAGTGTTTGACCTGCGGCTGAATTGCATTCATTTGAATACAGAAAAAAATGTAGACAATGAGAAAAAAGTTAAGACCTCGCGTTACAAAACCGTTGAGATCGTACAATCAAATCATTACCAGCATTTTGGACAACAGATATCATTTTGAATACACACGTAAATGT